GTCCTTCAGGACTGTCTCCCAAGGGACTCTTGGAAGAATGGATAGGGAAGAGCTCTCACGCATTGACTCTTTAAACCACATGTTTTTGTCAGGAGACCTTAGTGGTTGAAGGCAGTTCTCTGTGAGGGTGGTGGCTGAAGCTGAAGGCTGTCCTCACATGCATCTTTTGTCCTCTAATAATACAGCAGCCTACTCCTGATGGCCTGCTTAGAAGAGTGAACGCTGCAGCAGGTGATTCCCATCTACTTTTCAGGTTCACACTGCTAAACCTTCCTTTTACCCATTGCGCGCAGGGGTTCATTTCCTATGTTGGCATAACGCACATGAGCAGCTTGCCATGGGTGGTTAGAGCAGAGGTGCTGGGGTTAAAGAACGAAGTTCATAGGTATTGGTGAGACGAAGTATCGGTCTCCTTTGCTGAGATGATCCACTTAGTACAAATACTAGTGCAGGTGGGTTCTGCTAGCAAAAAGCATACACCTGGGGGATTGTTACGTACTGCAGACTTGCTTGTCAAGTGTCCCACGCCACCCCAAAACACAGTTATTTCCTGGGCAGGCATTGCATGGCATGGTTTATTATGAATATGTAACAAGTGTGATTAATATATTACAGTTTTGAAATCTTTGCATTAACAATATAAGCTTTCAAGAGTATTTGTATTTTGTCTGTCAGTAAAATAGTTTATTCTTTTTGAATGGCTTTCATGCTTTAACTGAAAGGATTAATTGCTAAGGAGTAGAAGGAGCAGAGAAACAGAGAGCTAAGAATCCTTGGTTTATTCCCAGCCATGACTTGGGCAAGTCATTTGGGCATCCCTTTAAAAAGCAGCTGTAAGCATCAACTTTAGGGTAGCCAAACACACTGGAAGATACCACAAATGTCCCAGTGTGGAAGTCAGTAACGAAAGACCCTAAACCAAGGGGACCATTCTGAGAATCGAAGCCTTAACCCAGCTGTGTCTGTGCACAAATCACTGAATCTGTGGCTTGGTAGTATGTGATGAGACTCAGCAAGCACCAACAATGGTGCGATCCTTTCCTATATTCCTTCAGAATGCTACGGCATTATTGTTTCAAAATGTACTTCAGGCTAATGGTATCAGAGTTAGTTGTCAAGTTGTTTAACTGTGAGTCTTTACTGTTTTTCAAGTTGTCTCCTGTCCAACTTTTTACATTCTCTGATGTTAAGAAAAAAATTAAAAATTCTTTTAAAAACGCTCTTTGCAACAAATGTATCGGTCACTGCATCATGAGATTTATATTATTCCACAAGGCTGCTGTGTGAAGAAGGGACTGTGGGCTGTCACTTTGGCAGGGTATTTGAAAACAGATTCTCTCCAGCAGCTGCTGACATTCTGTCTACAGTGTATTTCTTGCCTGTCAGAAGTGCAGCACCAGAGCACTTGCTGTTTATGTCTCACCCATTTGTTCTGTATTTCTTTTTGTTTTGTTCCTTCCTTTACCACAGAACAGCAAAAAAGGCTTAGTAGTCTGGCAGGTATGATGTGAAAGATCTGCTACCCCTCAACTGCTGTATCTGCTGGAGCAAAGCTACTGTTTTGTTAGTTTGTGGAGTACCTTTAGCAAACACACTTCCCAGGAACTGCAAAGAAATTAGTATAAATATTTGTCCTGGCTTAGTCCAGGTCACTGAATGTTTGATTTCAGTCTTTTCTCCAAATGCTGCCTGTGTGGCCACATGTTAATATACCAAAACCATAAATTATTTGTCTGTTCCTCCTAAGTCATAAGATTTACGTACAGTTTGATTGTTCTAGTTGACTTTAGAGGCTGTCTTTTCAGCCTTTAGGTTTGTTCCCTTTGGGCATATTCTCAAGTTTCTCTACACAGCCATTAGAATTAGTCTTGCTTGTGGTGAGGGCAGAGGAAAAGAAATAAAAATTAGTATTTACATGACTCCAATAGATGATAAAATTATAGCATGCAAGTATGCATGTGTGCTGCCACACTTCTCGCCTGGGGCAGCTCTCTGCTCTTGCAACAGGTGTGAGTCTCTCCTTGAAAGAAGAGCAGGTTGTTTTCCTGGTCATCTTTCCTGCCCTGCACCCCAAATACAACTAGCTCAGTCTGCAGTGGACATTACAGGAACAACGCATTACGCACGGCTTACCTATGGGTTAAGGTATTGGTATTGTTATTCTTTGGTTATGGCCGTGGCGGGGTAAATGGAGAAGTGGGAGAGAAGAGAGTCACAGTGAGTGCCTAAGCACTTAAAATATCACAAATAGAAGCACAGGGGAGCCAGTAGTGTATGCTCTTGCTCTGCTGCATGGGCCCTGGACTAATGGAGCATGTCCCATGAGGACAGGATCTGTCCATGAAGCAGCTGCTGACTTGCTCCAACTTCATCCACCAGGTTCCTTCGGCTGCGACACCAGCACCAGCCTGTTCCTCCTCTCTGCTGCCACCCTGCTGAGGTGACAGGCTGCATAACAGCTTACACCAGTTTCTCTCAGCTCCTTCCCTTAGCGTAGGTATTGTCTCATCGGACACCACTCAGCTGCGAGTTTAACACTTGCTTGCAAGTCCGGACAGAGGTTTCCTGTTGGTTTTCCCTTTCGTAAGGTATTTCCCTTCATTCTCAGGAAGTCCTTTGTTTTCTGAACTGGAGGTAGCCACAGAGCAGTTTGTTACAGCCCAAATGATCCTAGGTCTGGAAGAGTGAAGCATGTTGTCGCACAGCTGGGTCTGCACCTGCTCTATGTATAACAAAACAACCACACAAAGCTGCCGGCTGCCCCATCTCCTCCTGCTTTTTGTCCTATTGGTGACAGTAGTAAAAATCTTTTGCTGGGCAACTCTATGTATTGCTGCTGCTGCTCTTGCAAAAGAATGCCTTGGGTGCCATGGAGTGTTCTGACTGGTGCAATCTGGTTATTTGGGCGATTAGGCACCAGATTTGGTTCTCCAATTTTTTACATACCTCAAAACCTGGTATATACCTCCATAAACTCTTTTGAAATCATTGGAGCTGCATGAAAAATAAAGTCAGTGTGAAGTTTAGACGTTATTCTCCAAGTTGTAGGATATTGTGGCAAATCCGTGGTGAAAGATGCCGGCTTTAGTTCCTCCCTCTGCAGCAGGTGTCTGTGTTTGCAGTATCAGCTGAGCAGCCAAACTGGACCAGCAGCTAAGCTGGTCCTCTTGGTTGAGTCCTATGGACCTAGGAAGGACTTACTTGGTGGGGTGCACAGGGAGGGCTTGCCCTAATGCAACTGTGCTGTCAGACAGGCCTTTCCTGTCTCCAGGGTAGTCAGTCCAGCACCTTCAACCAGTTCTAAGTGCACTCCAAAGAATATTTTTGAAAACTCCATCAAAATACGTTTAACTGGCTGGTAGATTTTCTCTCTGGCTATGCCATGTTAGATAGCTCCCAAACCTTCATGTTATAATATTAAAGATGTGAATTTATGGTTGAGAGATGGCTGGCACAGGCCAGATGGTTGGTTTTATTGTTGCTAAGTCATCAAAATAAGGATTTTGCTTAGATCATGGCTGTGGTACTGGGAAATCAGATTGTCACGCATTTCCCTGTTGTTTACATACATATTAGGTATTTTGATTATCATCATAGTTTCAGATGGGATCTACCTGGCAAACAGCCAACCACTCTTCCAGTGCAGGGAGCTATGGAGTCAAAGAGAAATACATTTATCTGTCCTGTTAAAGAAGGGCTTTGTGACCTTCTCTGCCATTGAATTCTTTAGCCTGCAGAAAATAATGACTTTTCTAGACCAGAAGTTCAGGACTTTTAGCATCAGCAGACAATGATAAGTAATGGAGAAAAGCTGTGACCTTTCCTACAGTTTGCATCCTCTCCACATCCTCATCCACATCCAAAAATCCACTTCGTTTTGGTCTTCAAGGTCATGGAAGAATAGTCTAGGTTCAGTTGCTCTTTCCATGCTCTGTTCCTAGAGTTTTAGGAAGGAGTTTAGTCATGGAAATGGACCAAATACTTCCTACAAAATGGAGAGCCCTGTACACCAGGGACACAAAAGGACCAAAAGGCAGTGCACACAGATTCACAGAGAGGGGTTATAGGATGAAAATGCTAAACAAGTATTTAATAGATGCTTTGTCTCATTTTGAACATTTATAAACATTATTTAATTTTTTTCTTAAAGAGGAGGAAGACTTTAAAGTTTGATGGTAATTTCAAACCAACCACTCAAACACAAATCCTTCATGTACTGAGTTTCGCAGGGCAGAATTGTGTTTGCTCAAGGTACCAACAGACCAATGCTTTGTTATGCATAAGCCTTTCCTCTGCTAACTGCCCCTTTCAGATTTCTACACATTTAATGGCTTTGGGCAGTATGGTGATGTGCATGTGAATAAACATCTCCCTCTCTCTCTCTCTCTCGTGCATGCAGTGATGTAAAAAGGATAGGACTTGGCAAAGTCTTGATGAGGCAGACTATAAAATCACAGATGTTTTGTCTCCAGAAAATCCACACAGAAGAAGTCCATCCATGTAGGATGCTACATTAGATTGAAATAACCAGCAGAAAAAGATGTCTAGAAGACTGTATTCACTGAAACTTTTTGATGAAGAATGAGATTGCAGAGTTGTTGGTTAGTCAAAAAGACACAAAAACCCAACCTCCAAACAGTCCTTGAAACCAAAATTTTCTGGTGTCTTACACAACAGCTGAGACTGTTATGAGGTGCATGAAGGTAGCTACCCGAGAGATACTATCCTGCTTTTGCTGGCATCAAACATTTTCTTGGTAGATCTCCTTCAGTCAGGATGCTAACCACAGCTAGCAGTGACACAGTCTGTCTCATCAACTACTTGCTAGGATTTTTGCCTTAAAAGAGTGGAGTATGGTGATGTGGTGAAATGCTGAGATGAGATAAGAATCCTCCATTGTCATTTCCAGATTCAGTGCCAGACAGACTAGTTTCCGATAAAGTTGATTCAGCACTCGTACGGGACAAGCCAGTTCAGGAGACAGTGCCAAGTGAGAAGCGGGCAATGGAGGAGAAGAGAAGAATTGTCAAGAGCCCTCAGCACATGGCTGATACCTCCGTTGATGATATTGGCATTCCACTGAGGGTAAGACCACACTGAGCATGTGCTCGATGCACAAAACCCGGGCCAGATTCCGTTTACCTTAGGACTCAGAGAATTCACTAAAGATCCAGAGACTGCAGAGATTTAAGGGAACATAGAATTCTAGTTCCAATGTATTTTATTTTGAACGTTTCCATTTGCTATCAATGACCTATCCTATAACCTATCAGCTGCCTTGGAGAAAAAAAAATAAGAATTAATATCTCTTTTTATCCTATTTGAGAATACTGTTTTCTGCTCTTCTGTTTCAATAACAGCTAGCAGCTAAGGGTGAGTTTTGTCTCATTTTATCCATCTTAAAGGCAGATCTCTTTTATACAATATGTTTAAGTTCATTCAGCATTCAGGAGAAATTATCATGAAAAGATAAAAGTAATAGACAATTGACCTGTTCTTACAGCTGGAATCTGGAGTAACTTGAAGGCTAAATGTTTCTAACTGTCCATTAAATACTTAGGAAATTGGTACATATGACTAAAATAGGCAAGGTGTCTACTTTTAGATGTCAAATCAGATTAATATGCAAAACTTTCTACACAATCTACAGTTCTACACAGGTTACAACATACCTCTGCAAAGCTTGTACATTATTAGTAACTTGAATGAAACCTGTAGCTTCGTTACATATCAGATTATATATCTGAGTGAAGTCGCTCATATCTCAAAGTATTAATTTCATATAGCCTTCATATAGCAGAGTGTAAATCTTTTTCATTGCTGGAAGATTCGTAAGAACTTTGAAAGGCTGGTAGAATTCATGGTTGTGATTATTTATGTGTATATTTATTTTTCCAATAGAATACAGACAGATCAAAGGACTGGTACAAGACGATGTTCAAACAGATCCACAAGCTAAATAGAGGTACTGTAACACAGATATTTTTTATTTACTTTAAAAGACCACCTTGATAACATTTTGTTTCATTCATGTGAAGAATTGTACTGGATGTTAAGTAAATGTTATGTTAACTAGTGTTTGCTCTGCACCACAGAACTCAACCAATGTATTTGAAATCTCTGAAGTTGAAAGATGAGAGAACAGTGAAGTCCAAAGAAAGGTCTGAGTTCTGAAAGGTGAACTGCAGTGCCCTCATGAAACTGAGTACTATTTGAGATCAGAAAGCTGCTAATAATTTCATCCTTAGAGAAAATAGATCCCTGAACTCCAGTTTTAGCAGCTAACTCCACCCCTCTACACTTTTAAGGGACAGTAGGTTGTCACTGAAACTGCTCTGTGCATAAGAGAAAACTTTTTACACTGCAAAGCTTTAGAACCTGCATAACAAAGCTTGATTTGAAGCTTACTGAAACCAATGGAAAGGCTTCCATTGATTTTCAGTGAGTTCAGAATCTGAACTCTGCTTTTTCAAAACCACAGATTTTCTCCTTTGAAAACTTAAAATTGTGGTGAGCACTTGCAGACTTTGTAGTGGTGCATTCCAAGGGAATCCCTTACTTGGAGGCACATCTATGCAAGACTGCTGATATATTCGTGTTCTTTCTTCTGTGCGAGAAATGGCTGCAGTAGCATTTGCAGACTGTACCCTCTGAACAGCCTGATGTGTGGGCAAATGCAGTTGAGAACTGCGCTTATATAATAAAACATAGAGCATGCAAAACTCGAGCTGTATTTGCCGCTGCAGGTGCTGTCATGATGAGCTTTATGCATAGATAGATGCTGTGTTGTACTGGATGGAATGAGAAAGAGTTAACTGTTTCCTAATACTGGTGCTCCTAACAGAGGTTCTTCAGCTCAGCCAGAGCCAATGCTTCAGAAGGAGGAGAATGAATTCAGTCCCCTCAGCTTCCAGGGTCTCTCGCAGGGCCCAGACATGCAAGGCAACAATGAGCAAAGAAGCATCTAGGTTGTGTCATGCTAGAACATCAGCGTGAGAGGGACAGTTCTGCAGTCAGCATTTATGGATTCTTGTCTCCCCCTTCTTCCTCTTTAAATCTGTCCTCTTTGTTCTTTTTTGCAAATCATATTCCTCTGCTTAGACACTCCTGAAGAAAACCCTTATTGCCCTACCTACATATTTCCTGAACTTCCTGAAATCCAGCAAAAAACTGAAGGTACCAGAAGTTTAGTCAGAGTATCTGTTGTCTTGTGCTTTAACTGTACTATAGCACCCTAGTAGTAACCAGATTCAGGTTCTAGATTTCCATTACCCATGTGTTACACTGTCTGGAAATTCAGTTATGCCCAGTATACCTTCTTGTGTGATGCATAAAACAACTAAATCTTTGCTAATCCATTAATCTTTTTTTAAAGTATGATGCCATTTCCTCTAGCATTATTAAAGTAGGCAATAAAGTCATATGGTAATAGGAAATTGGGGGATGAAGCAGAACCTCCACTTCACTGTGGATAGTCTCAAAATCCACTGCTTTTCTCTGCTGCAGAAGACAATCCTTATTCTCCTACATACCAGTTTCCTGCGTCTACTCCTAGTCCTATCTCTGAAGGTAATGATAAAGGACCATATATAAATTTCTGCACAAATGCTGCCTTACCCATTTATTTTCTTCCTGGAGTTTTTTCTAGTTGCTGAGCATTATGCTGCCTCATAATGATTTGCTGCACTCTAAGCATTGCCTTGACTGTATGATCCCTTTTTGGCTTTGCAGTGCTCCTCTGGCTTTGTAACTAGTATTTGACTAATGCTACAGACTTGGGGTTTGCTTGGTTTTATGCGCTTATCAGTTGTCTTTAGCCATTTGCGTGCAGTGATTAGCTAACATGCCTAGAATGCTGACTTACATGTAAAGATGTGGTTTAACTGAGATTTCTCCCACCCCTCTTTCCGATCAATACATTTTTTTAATTATTTACTGCTGGTTTTGAATATTAACGCAGTATTAGGGTCAGACCCAAAATGCCATTGAAGTCTATTGGTAAAAAGGCTGCTTGCTTCAGTGGGTTTTGGATCAGTCCCTCAACATAGTCTTTTAAAATAAATATAACTTCATAACACGGATTCAGGGCTGGCCTTACGTGCACTTGGCATATCTAGGCAAGGACAGAGTTTGGCAGTCTCATCAGCACATCCTGCAACTTGAAATAACACTGTGTTTACCTTATTCTCTTCATGTTCTCAGCAGATTCCTTTAAACTTCATGTACAAACCAGAATCCTTTGCAGTCAAGTTTCAGGGATGGTGAAATAGCATCTATTGCAGTGATAATTGTGTAGCTGTGTGCATATGCATGCAAACACTTACATATGAGAAACACTGGACTCCTCTGCTCACATTGGACATCCAGATGCTTCCTGATTGGGAAGTTGTTGGTGACAGCCTTGTTGGCTTGGTGCTCTGGTGTCACTTTAGATCCTGCAATTTAGGAACTTGCCTACTTAGCCTGTGCCTCAAGGCAACCCTGGTGAGACTATTAATTAACCATTTCATTCAATGTTTATCTTAAACATCTGGTGGGTACTGTGTAAGAGGAAAGCATACAATATGGGTTCTAGCTGAGATGCTCAAAGGAGACTAGGAGATGTAAGGTGCATTTCACTGTTAAAATCAATGTGGACTAGTGTCATACAGGTATCTAAGACACTTCTTCATTTCTTGATGAAACCTGTAGGTGAAGAGTCCTGTCTTGCAAATCATAATGCAGTGTAAATTATTTTCTACTGGCAGAATGGTATGTGGATATGGATGAGAGAAACAAAGAGTCTCAGTAACTAATTGATGAAGGAGCTTTACAGAGGTTCAATTTTCTTGGTCGTAATGAAGTTTGAAAATCCATTTTGCTCTGGTCTGAACTAACGTAGTTTGCAAAACCAATGATGGTAATATATTAAGAGTCTGGTTTCCCACAAATGTTCCCCTATGTGCTTACAAACGTGCATATGTAAGTAATTTGCTGGTTTAGGTAGTTGAAATTTTATTGGATCAAACACTTGCTTTTTATTCTCAATATGTTGGGAATTTTTTCTCTAATATTTGTTTGGATTCTTTCCTTGATAAGGAATCAGGAATATCTGATGATGTTGATGAGTGCATGTTTCATGTTTAGAAAACATTTCAAAGTTACATACTCAGTGGCAAAGTGTTTATACAGAGATAGATTGAAGCCTCAATGTCATGCAGCCAATGTCAGAGTTTTTTGCTTTGGACTGATGCATAGGATCTCCAAGAAACATCAAGGTTTGGACTCCCCTCTAAAATAACTTTAAAGTCTCTAGAAACACAGAGAATATGACCAACCCTGCAGACCCTACACATCCTCTAGGAGCTACAGGGAACAGCCTCTTCTCGAGGAAGGAATCAGATTTTGAAACTACAAACTGGTGATACCCTACTCCATTAAGGAGAGTGCCACAAATAGAATGCAGCTCTGAGAGCGAGGAGATCTTGTTTTAATGCTCATCTCTGATTTACTCTTTAATCTTGATCAAATCATTCCAGATTTCTGTGTTTCATTATTCCTTGCTGTAAAAAGGGAAGAAATGTAGACACTCTTCATAAGATACTCGAAGAGACAAAACATACCCATTTCCCTTATTACTGTAGATATTAGAATATTAGCAATTGGAAAATAGCACTTATCTGAAATGAATTTTCTATTGTATGCTTTTCCTGTCTGAATGATGAGCTATAATGAATATTAGTATTTCTCTTTAAGTAAGTAAATAAATTTTTTTGTTGATTACCAGCACTAAATAAGGCTGTGAGAGGTGAATGGCTGCTTTAGTTTTAGACATTCATTCATCTGTATTTGTAGGGACCGAGAGTTTTGTGATTTACCAAGTATTTTGCTATTCGAATAAACCCAACTTTTATCAAGGAGTACCAGTTAATTTTGTCACCAATTCAGTGTAATAACATTAAATAAATAAATATTTGTTTTCTGTCATTTAGGTTTAAAGCACAGGAATTGGCCTGAAAATTGACCTTCGCTATTTTTAACCTGAAGGTTATGATAAGCACACCAGAGTCAATAACCATCTGTTTGGAACTTAAACCTTCTAATTCATTCACCAAGAGAACTCAGCAGAGAGGCTAAAAGTTAAGACATCTTTGAGCCTTCCTGAAAGGCTTGATAAAGGCTTGAGTGCAATTTCAGGTCAGCTGTGTTAGACAGATTGGCTGTAGCAGCTGATTGATGTCCTCCTTGAGAGAAGATCTGGAAATTGTTTCAGTCTGTTGATCACTAAATTCACATATGTTTCACATACATACTAGTATGTTCTTTTCTTATCTAGCTTATTCTAGCTTCATCTATTTTGTTTTTCTGTCTTTTTATTTCCATTGATTTTAGTGGTTTCTTCACAGAGGTATTAGTAATACCTGTGCTCACAGTTCTTTTTGCAGTCATTGCATCGTACTTTCCTGCATTTTGCCTTGGAAGTCCTGTAGATGTCACATATACACACCCCTGCAAGTCTGAACCCTCATCAGCAGAGAAAGGTGATGGGCTTGTGGGCCCAGTTTCCAGGTCTGATCCCAACTCCCCCTGCCACTACCTGCAGTTCATTGAGGATCATTCCAAAGCCTGTCGAAGGTGGTGGAAAGATACCGCTAGGTTTTTGATCAAGTCAAAGTCTCTGTGGCCATTGTGGTAATGCTGCCACGTTCCCACCTTCCTTCTGGGTGCATCTGCCTTGCGCACTACAGTACCATGTTCTCTTTGAATAAGGCGGTATGTCATTCCATGGCCCAAGGCAGCAGTTGTGTCCTGGCAATGACATTGCTGTGTTGATGCAGTTTAACACTTTCACTGTCAAAGAGAGAAGGTTGTTCAGCTTCAGGGCCAGACCACACAACTCAGTTACACTGATGTCATTGCAAGCTCTTTTAGAGCTGCTTGAATATCTCTGTTGCATTCTATAGGCACGTCTTTCCTATTTAAAAATTAAGCTCTTAAGAACGAGGACAGTCTCATGGTGCAAGTAGACATGTGTGTCTCATGCCAGGAATGTTATCTGCACTTAAAAGATAATCTGAGTCAGTGAACATACTTCAACTTGGTATGCAAGTTAATACAAGGGAGATGTCCCAGCAATTATTGTACGTGATTGGGAGCAAGACTCCTCAGCTCTATTACTGTGTCTGACACCTAATGAATTATTTTAGGCATATACTACAGCTTTTAGATCCACTATCTTCCAGATTTTGATAAAGTGGATCTAGTAACCCTTGCTGTAGAAGAGTTTTGTGACAAAAAGTGCTTGTATTGTAAAGTGCTTTGAGATCCTGGAGAAAGGTATTAGTGTAAGTAGTGCATTAATATTTATATCTAATCTAGGATTTATATTTAAATGCAATTTAAACCTCATTACAATTTTCTTTTTTAGGATCCTCTCCCTGTGGTAAGTATTGGGTATATCGCTCAAATTATGGCTAATATATTAGTAGAAGAAATGAAAAGGGTCTCTGGTGCTTCTTCTTCAGGGCTTTTTCAGCTCACTTGCAAAATGCTTTTGTCTTTCAGATGAAGATTCTGATTCATACTCTCCTCGTTATTCCTATTCTGAGGACAGTAAGTAGTTCACATTTCTTGTGTAATCTGTCAAACAGAAAGGGCATGTAAAGCATGTATTTATTTGCCTCCTATCCAGTTCACCCATCTTCCTATATTTGACTTATCCTACAGGCAGAACCCAGCTTTCAGTTCCCCGCTCCAAGAGTGAGATGGACAATATTGATTCAGAGAAGATTGTTAAGAGGTCTGCCACTTTGCCACTGCCAAACCGTTCTTCATCACTTAAATCAAGCACAGAAAGGTGACTTGAACTAAGATATATTTGGATCAGTGCTGGAAGAATCTCTGAAAGCTGTGAATGGGAAGGGAACAAAGGTGGAAGCTTTAGGTCCACAACTCCAGTTAAACTTTTTTGGGGTAGTGGAGATGTAGTTTTGACTCTGAATCTTCTACTAGGCGGCAGTGAACTCCTTCATTGTCACAGCCCAGTCCCCCGTTTTGTCTGTCTTTTTTTACTGGGCATCACACAGTCTGTTGCATGGTTTCCTGCCTGAGTGAGGAGTGTTTCTCTGGGTGTCATGCCTATACAGTGCCTACCAGAGAGCAACAGTGGAAACTCTTGGCTCAGTGTAACACCGTAAAGGCACCTCAGAATACAAGCAAGTAGCAGTAACTGTGGAGAAGCAAAATTTGGATTTATGTTGAGCCTTGGTAAAAATTTTGTTACATTTTGTATCTCTGAGGAGTCCCACCCATATGAATCTTATTGGAAGTAGGTTCTAGTTAGCGGTGTAATTTCTGATCTTTCAAGATTACTTCCCTCCTGGTTTTTTGCTTTGTTTATTACTGTGTATTTTAAACCTCTTTGTAACAGCAATTAATGTGTTTACCAAATGAAGGGAAAGCAGACTGAGCAATGAATATTTGCTAAATTCTCCCAGCTTTTGAACTGCTCCTCCCTTCCTCACCAACTTCCACATGCTCTTAATGTTTTTCATGTGCTGCCTCAAATGAGTGATGCCATAATTTGAGATTGCTAATTCAGTGAGCATCTCAGGCCACCAGATCAGGAGACAGAGTTTGCTGACAGAATGTGTCTTCCTTACGCAGGAAATGAAGGCATAGTGCATTGTCACTCTGAGAGAACTCTTGCAAGTGAAAGGATTACAATAATTAATGCTTCCTATTATCTAGTGACAAAACTGTGTTTCACCAGGGAGAAGTTTAGAAGTTTCTCTGGGGTTGGAATCAAGTTTATTCTTGACAGCAAAGATCAACCTTGTTGAAATTTGTACACTGTTCGTAGGCCAATCATTTTGGCTGTCATCTTGCCTTCCTTTAAAAAAAAAAAAAATTAAATTGGTTGTGTCTGCCCTAAGCCAGTGAGGAGAGTTTGGGCAACGCAGTGGGTTTGTTCCTATCCTAAACAAGGTCAGTAGGGTAAGTGGGAGGAAACCTGGAGCAGCAGTTTTGGTTAGATTTCTCCCTTTTGTTTGGTGAATGCTAGGTGAGATGAATCCACAAACAACATTGCCCATCAAAGGGGACATACCAAAAGCAAGATCAGAATTATTTTGCCAGTTTAAATGGCTTGATTTCTGGGCTTTTTTTGACGCATTGGTTATTCTGCATGAGGTATTGAATTGAATTGAATGTATTACTTTTCAGAGGAGCTGGACATTGTAGGATATGGACCCTGGATGCTTTGTGACTACTATTGTCTGAACTGTGCCAGTGTGGACACCGCACAAAATTATAGCAGTTTGGTTAGTCACTGGCCTGTTCTTAGCCATCTTTAGATATACCGGTCTGAGATAATTCATTCATGTCTCTAGAAAAGACCCCTCTTGAACCCCAGAGTGCCCCCAGAATTCAGAGCAGTAGTAGCCAGGTAATCAGTGATGTGGCTAAAATGAAGAAGTTTAGCAAAAGAAGTTTGATCTGCGTTCTCTTCAAAGTTTGGGCATGTTCATATTTGTGAGCTTAGTTTAAGCCCATCACGAAGCTATTTCCAATCAGGAAAGATAAGAAAGTCTGGAATTTTATTGAAAGTACTTGGAAGAACCCCCCTCTGCGCCAATGGTTTCAGCAGCTGAGCTGTATCAAACTCTGCCTGCTATAGCTAAACAAACATATGCCCGGAGCCCTATCTGAACTGTTCTTCTTGCAGCAGGCTCCTTTCCTAGATTAAAAAAAGTACCCTGATTAAACCATGATTAACAAGGAAAGGCGCCTGTCAAAAGGAAGTGCTTGTCACCACGGAAACCACAGTGTTTTGGGTTAATTGATCTTTCTTTCCTCAGGACTGACTGGGAGCCTCCAGACAAGAAGGTGGATACCCGAAAGTACCGTGCAGAGCCCAGGAGCATTTATGACTATCAACCAGGAAAGTCCTCGGTTCTGAACAATGAAAAGATGGTAATGTTTGTTTTATTCCAGTTTGTGGCTTCATCCTGTGATTATAAAATAGTCCCCAAGTACCTGTCCAGTTCCATTCGGATAGGATTCCTTATGCTTACAGTACAGTGCTCATGTGATGTATTTCCTGTATATTTTGTTTTGAAAACTGTATATTTTGTTTTGCATAACTTCCTAACATCTTTGTTCTCTATAAAGCAAGATCCAGGGGGATCGAGAGGCTCCTTTCCTTTTGGATGTGTTGTTTTCTGTGTTAAGTATGGATCACTAACACTAGTTTTTAATCCATGTTTGACACTGTGACCTGTTCAGCAGCTGTTTTGCCAGCTGCACTTTTTCTAGGACACAGCATTAGTTCATGCAGGAGAGTTGAAGGCATTATGCAATAAAGCAGGCCGGTTCAGTTTCTGTGTTCCTCATGCTTTAAACACTGAAGGACTAATTTTTAGAGTGCCTGTAATGTACCACAGCAGATGCTTCGAAGGCATATTAGGACATGGTCATCAACCCTGGGCTGCTTTCTTCCTCAGCTGGATCTCACCAGTTCTGTGGCAGGGGTGGCAGAACTGAATGTGAGCTGGCTCCCCAGCTGCACTAGTGCATAACCTGGAGCATTAAGTGAGCTGTTACCAATTTCAGTTTCAATTAGTAAGTAATGCTGTGAATTGTGACATACAAAAGTCTCATTTTGCAGGCTTGGCTGAGAACACTTGGCAAGGGGCAGGGCGGAGAGGTGGCGCTAACCTTGTCAGCCAGTCCTGCATAAATCACCACAGCTCACTTAAGGTGTCCTCCAGTGGTACAAGTGAGACACTGTAAGTGCTAGAAAATACTGAACAAGGTTACCAGTGAATAGCCAGTTTGGTACATAAAGATATAGTTGTTCTATATAGGCATTAACTTGAAGGATTCAATTAGAAGCGCTAATTGCATGCAAAATTCCAATTGTAAACTGGACTTTGTGCCTTACCAGCTCAGGTATTGATCCATGTATGGATTAGGTAAAGGAATGCTCCTGAAAAACCTGCCCAAGGATATTAAACAAGAGCGAACAGCAATTTAAATCAGTAGAAATGTAGGAATCAAGTCTGATCTGGGACCTGATGTTTCTCCTTAGTACTTTGGTGGGTTTTCTTTTTTCCTTCCAAGTGCAGTCAAGGTCCATCACTTTTTGGAGATCCTGCAACTAACTTCTTTTCACACCCATGTCCTTTCATTAACTTCAACAAAGTTGCTCCTGATATAGGAGCATGATCCTAGTGCCTGTTGAAATGGGCAATGATGACTCTGTCTTGATCATATTGAGTGTTGGCTCAGCCTGTTAAAGAAGTGCCCGTGAGGAGGGGTTTGAACATGGTATGACAACTCCATTCCTGCAGTTGATCCTGGAGCAAGATTTCTGCTAACTTAAGTGTCAATTTTATCTCACAATAAACAGCCAAGATTAAAACTTGTGGCAAAAGACCTACTTCACCTCTTTACTTAAGCCTTTGCGAATGGTCTGACATCACCAGTGGCACTGTTTATGTGTTCAGACTTCATCAGGTGCTTAATTGAGCTGTTGAATTGGGGTCTAAAAGCCACAAGCAGGACCATCATTGGCATAATTGAGAAAAATTGTACGGAGCTCATCAAAGACAAGGAGAATGTGATAGCTGTGTTACTTCCAGTGTTACTTTCTGAGCTTTAATTTCAAGCCATGGATCACAGAAGAAAGAAGGTTTTGAAATAGTAGCTTCATGGTCTCCATCAGTCTTATTAAATACAACGGTAATACAGTGGTTAGTGACTAGATCTTTCAAGCAGGCTGCAGGAGATTTGTGGATATCTCCTGGTAACCATACCCAGAGCTGTGACTGTTGTAATCCCAATCCAAAACCATTTCTGAGCAATGAAGAGCCTCCCATCGACGTCAGTAAGCTTTTTGGTTTATGTAAAGGCAGTTGTGTAACAAGATCAGTACTTTTAGTTGGAGTGCAATAAAGAAAAAAATTGAGGCATTGCTTCTATTTTGTCTATAAGAAATAGCTAAATCTTCCTCCAGGCCATCAGAGATCAAATGTGATGTAACCATTTGATCTTTCAGATTGAAGCATTGCCACCCTTTCAGCACCAATCCTGAGCTCTTGCCCTAGAGGGTTTTTTTTGGTGAAGCCTAATGACTGTGGCAGAGTCTGGGACATGTAGCAAAGCCCCGCGCTGTTGGGAGCTGCCCCCTGCCTCAGTAACCCTGTGACAGGATGACTTGCATCAGGACACTTTGTGCTGGCCCTCTGTGTGTGTGTGTGTCTCATCGCTTCTTGTGATGAAGCACTTGGGATCACACTGGCATATCAGACATAATTTATTCATATTTTTAATGCACTGCCATCCATTATGCCTAAGGCTAGGTACACTGAAATGCAAGAGTTAACTAGATGTCTTTTGGGGAGTGGCACCTCATAACCCTCAGCAATGGACTTTATTCTCTTCTCATCTGTAGTATTGTTAAACAGCTACAACTGTTTCAACTTTGTTTCATTAAACCAGATTGTATGAACAAAAGGGAATTTCCTTTTCAACTGTACTGTTTTCTGTCCTGTGTGATTTTCCTTTGTTGTAGTTTTTGTCTGATTCTCTAACATTTATTTGTGAAGAAACAAGTAATATTGTCTCCCTATCCATCCCTTCAGAGGTCTTTCAGGAATGCGCTCTGACTTGTGTCTCCTTCGATTTAGAAAAACCACCTTTCGCTCTGTTTGCAGTGGCTAGAAGAGGGTTTCTCACATATTCATGTGCTGTTAAAGATGCAGTATTTGATACAGGTCTCACTGAATGTTTTTTTTTTTTACCCAAATGAAGATCAAAAAAATTTTTTTAAGTACATGCAGCTTTGGACTCGATGGAAGTGTCTGACAGTAGGAGTGAGGGACTGGTTGACTCCCAGCTTTTCCGTTGACTTTCCCTGTCACTGGGCAAGCTGCATAATCTCTCTCTGTGTGGGTCTCCTGATCTGTAAAATGCAATTCATTCATATTCATGTTGCTCACAATGATGCCATTAGGCTTAACTGATGTTTGCAAAGCAGTTCACGGCCTTTGTGAGAGACGTGCTATAGAAATTCCAAATTATAAGTCCAAATATCCACATTTTAGAATGGAAACCATGGGATCTGCATCTCTAACAGTCCCTTTCCGTGTATTCTTTGCATAATGTTATCCTTCTCTTTCTTCCATTCCCCTATCACCAACTCCTTTAGACTCGGGATATAAGCCCAGAAGAGATAGATTTAAAGAATGAACCTTGGTATAAATTCTTTTCGGAATTGGAGTTTGGGAAACCGGTAAGTTTGATAGTTACGATGACCAATGAAGTCAACCTGCCCTTTTTTTTTTTTTTTTAAACATGATTGTCACATCTCTTTGCTAGGCCCTAAACCTGGAACAGCTGCCTTACCCGTTTAAAAATGTGATTGTTCATGACATCATCCTGGTACTGATGTAAAGCAACTGTTCTGTGACCACTTTAAGTATTTTGAAGCCATTTACAAACATTCCCTACCTTCCAGCCATATGTATCAACAAGTCAATGTTTTTTCGCACACCATAGTTCAAACTGCATTTTTGTTGTTAATGTTAGAAGCAATGCCCTGTTCTCATTATTGCAAGTCCTTTTTCAAAGCCCTTATTCTCCCTCTGCCTGACAAAATCTAGGATGGCTGATAGGTAGCTTTCAGTCAAGGAGAATCACTCATTTATTCCTGGCCTTGGCTTGGAAACTGTAGGTCAGTAATTTCCAGCTATCCATAAACAGATCATGACCCTGTTTCCTGCTCATTTCCTTATGTATGTAGCTGCCCATTGCCTAAATGGGGTGCATCAGTCTGTGTTGAATAGCCCTTGCCATTCCCTGAAACCAAAGAAGTCCGAGAACAGTACGCTTTCTTTTCAAATGATGCTGTGTTGCTGTGTGGAGGGGAAAAAAAAAAAAAGAAAGCCTTGATTTCCCACTCTGGAAAAAGATGAAGCAAAGCTGAATTATTCAATAGGACAAAGGACATTTTGATGGAGGGAACACACCAGTGATCATGGCTACTGGAAAAAATGTTGACTTTAAAGCATTCTATGTCCTGTTTCTTACTGATTAAACACTATTAACTTCATTATCAAATACTGTTTAATAAGCTACTCTTACTGCACCAGAGGGTCAGTATCAGCCTTACATCTGTTCAAGGGTAGTGGTTTTTCCTCCTTTCTCCTTGAGGTCCGTTGTCAAATGCCCGTGCACACCATTTTTGAGTGCTGCTGAGATTTCCCTGCATGTACAACAACAAAACAGAAATACATTTTAAGGTTCAGTACTGGCTCCAAAAGCAACTGCATATGAACACCAGAGAGCAGGTTTTCTTTAAATCTAGTCTTTGTTTTCACAGGAGTGGCAAAATTCCTCTGCACAGAATGTGGCTGCCTGAGGTTGGGTGCCCGGTATGATCACATCATAGATGTAGTATATCTGAAATATGCTGAAAACCAAACATGTACAGTGGCTGGGTAGTCCATTCTGTCATAGAATACCGTTTAATAGCTATGGACCTTCCATCCCAAGCTAAAGAAGGAGCTTCAACAGTGTTTGAGATGAGAACCCCTAACTTTTAGGCAGTAGAAGTCAAGTAAATCCCACCTCACTGTGATGTCAATATAAGGATTTAACCCTTTACAAGTTGTCATGGTTTAAGACTTTCACAAAGCGAGAAGAAACCTGCTTCTCTTTGCTGCCATGTAATTAATAGCCATATGCTCTTGCAATGAATGAAGGTTTGTCATCTCTATGATCCTTTGAGTTAGTGTAAGTTAATAGAAAATGTATCAGAGAAGGGAGAACGTTTATGCCCTTGGACCTTTCTAGAAGTGAGACTATATCTGTTCCTTAGAACTGTGCATTTGTGCTTTTAGTCATGCAGCCTTGGCCTTACTTCAGAAAAGGGCATCTCAGGCTACACCAGCAATCCATCTCTTGTTCAGCAGAGCATCTGTTCTGGTGACAAGTTCCCCACCTTGCTCAGGGCACTGTTGCTAAGGGCTGCTTTCTTACAGCTTGCCTTGAAATGATATTCCGTGTCAACTTGCTGTAGCTCCAATGCCATGCAACCATGCTGCCTGATCAACTGTGCCAGCCCCTGAATGTGGTACTCTGTACATGGTGCTTTGGCATCAGGCACTTGAATTGAGGATGCCATCTCAGACTTCTATAGCTAGCAAAGCTCCCTCTGAGCTTCATTACCACAGCCAAAAGAGCTTGCTTTTTGTAGCTTTGCTCACTCCGGTCACGAGAGGACCAGATTTTTGTGACCAGCTAGTGGCTAAGCCTCGTGCCTAACCAGAGAGTTTCAAATGATGTTTTCTAGTGCCTCGGATTTTCAGATTCTCTGTTTGTCCCAGCTTTTTTCCAGTGCTGGAGATAATGTGTACTTCTACACGCATGATTTCCCTTGGCTTTCTGACTTTATTTGCAGTTACATGATGTAAGCAGGAAACACCCTTGGTAAAAGGGAGCATAGGTTTCTTGTGAGCCTGTGGGTGTTGCTCTCCAAAGACACCAGAATGGCCAGGATGGGGCTTTCTCCATTGAGGAAAGCATATGTGCTTCCTAGGGCAGCTTGAAGTGACACTTGGCTGGACCAGCATCCCAGATGCATCTCTGGGCTGCTCCATGGACAGGCACGTGCCCTGCAGTCCCGTAGATCAGTCTGTGCAGCATAGATGCGTTTTCAGTGTGCTGCTGAGACTGTATCCCCACACTCTCCTTCCTTCCTTCCTCCTGACCCCTGTCTCCAGAGCTCCATGGAGCCCATTCACAAAACTTGACATTTGGTCAGTATAGAGCTCGGTTGTCTTCCACTGTGCTTGTAGGATCAGACACACAGCCGCTTTCTCCCAGCTCTTCCTGAGACAGCATTGACTAAGCTCTTTGCTGTAAGTGGAGAAGCAGGGGGCTGGAAAAAGGGGTGCATGCCCTGTCTTCTCACCTCCTTCCCTCCATTTCCTCCCTCCAAATATTAAACCTAAATCTTGGCAGCACCATCTATCCACCTGCAGCTGCTGATTTGATGGTTAAGAAATAGGTATTTAGTGTTTGCATCCACACAGTGGCTGTCCAGATGTAAAGTGGGACAGATTCAAACTGCAGATCCAGGCTGTCTAGAAAGGAATTTGAGTCAAGACCAAAGTGTTGTAGCTCAGTCTCCCCTTTGACACTGGGAGATTCCCTGTGAATGACTGGGAAGCACTTTAATAATCTAGTCACAGAAGTCAGTATGGACACATAGGATGATGCTAAGCTTACCAGGCAACAGAGGTTATTTTTGTTTGGAAGCAGAGCAAATGTGTTCAGATTTCACAAAGTAAGAACAAATTGTCTTTGAGCATATCAGTGAGAGGTGCATAGCTAGTGAAATAAGGATATGGCATTATTTGGACAGGTGTGTCTAGGCAAAGGTCTTTCACTTTGAATAATCCTCCCCGATATTTACATGTGCATATCCAAGCAGGAAAATCCTATTTTGAAGTCAGCACCTTCACCTATAGGATGAATTTTAAATAACTAGTTCCCAAACTTCTATGTGTCCCACTCTCTCCACCAAAACGCCCCACAAACAAACCCCCAAACCAGTGAAATAAAAAATAACAACTCTGCGTTCTCATTGCCCCACAATGCCACCACTGGAAATTCAGCCATTTGTTCACATGGTATGTATTCATAGTCTGGCGGGGGTGGGAAAGATTCTCCCTTTATCAAAGGCCCTTGTTTTACACTTTCCTTTTGAAAAGAAGAATGAGCAAAACAAATGCTTTTTATGACTGTGTGTGGTTTTTTTCCCCGTTTTGTTTTGGTTTTGTGTTAAGAATGCTTTAACCACCAGCTGTGGGCTCTCACTAGAGTCTAAAATCCCTTAGAGCACCTTGCAAAAATAACAATTTCCTCAAACACTACTGAAAACAGCCCCTCCCAGACTGCATGTATGTTCCCTTTTGCCTCCCATGATCTCTAGATATTTGTGCTATAGCAGATTTATCCCTCTCTCTCTCTTTCTCTGTTGCGGTTTTTTTTTGAAATTTCTTTTCAGTGTTGATGCAAATCCCCTATTGTATTCCCCGCTCTGTTCTAATCCAGTTTCCATATTCTCTGTGATGTCTTTCCTTATCTTCATTTCCTCATTTCCTTCCTCTGCTTTCCATCAGCCTCCAAAAAAGATTTGGGATTATACTCCTGGAGATTGCTCTATCCTTACTAGAGAGGATAGAAAGGTAATTGTGTCTTGCGTACATTGTACTACAGCATTTAGCGTGTATGTATGTGTGTATGTGATTTTCTTTTTTCTTTTTGTAGCATTGCTCGGGGTTTGTGTGCTTGTGAGTGATTTTTTTTAATTGGGCTTGAGCTCATTAGCCTAACAATTGAGTAGCTAGTAAATTGATTTAATAAACAATTCTTGAAGCATAATCAGCCATAAATCGGAGTGGTGGTTTTGCTATCTTGACTTGCAATGATAATTATACTAACAGCATATTGCATATTGTTACAGTATCTTTTTTTTTTTTTTACAGGTGTGTTTTATAACTTTATGGTTTGTAGAATTAGATTCTAGCAGGCCTGTGCATCTCTTAATTTTGAATGTTAAATGCCTAAAACTATTTCCTCTGTAATGATTGAAACATGATTAATTACTAGTGAGTTTCTGTGTATTGTCCATACCATCTTTGTCTTTTTTCAATTAAAAAGGCTCGCATTTTTTTTTCAAAATTAACATTCCTTTGGTTTCCCCTAACCCTAAGCATTATTTTCCCATTCTTCTTCTCCTTCTTTAACCAGACTGATCTAGAAAAAGACCTCTACCTCTACCAGACTGAGTTAGAGGCAGATTTAGAAAAAATGGAGAAGCTTTATAAAGCGCCACATAAAAAGCCACAGAAGGTATTTCCTATTCTTTTCATGCTGCCAATCCCTGTTTCCAAACTCTCTGCTCTAATCTATTCACTGCTGGATGATTATTAAATGAGGTTGGGATAAATAATGGTTCTGACTGTTCTGACTGCATGGCTTGCTGTGTTGCTGTCAGAAATAATAGAACATGATGCTGAGAATCCGGCTTGAAATCCATTTCAGATACAGTGATTTCCTCTCTCCCCCATTCCCTTCCAGCTGCCCCCCACCCCCACCCTGTCCCCCTTTAGGGTTTTGAGTTCGGTGTCTGCAAAAAAACCCTCTCTATTTTTCACATGAATAGGCAGCAGCAATCAGCTTAAAATTCTTGGTTGGCGTCACGTCATCATCTCGTGCCTTTCAAGCGTGTTGCCATCTACCCTCCTTTCATACAAGCCCTCCTCTCTGCTAGGAGCTCACGCCTACCCAAGATTTGGATATTCCCAAGAGATTTTACACGGTTTTCCTTATGCTGCACCTTGCCATGGCCTTCTAGGGCAGGTCAGCTGCTGCTGCTATTTCAACGGTCTGCAGGACCCAAACCATGAAATGATAGATTAATTTGGTAACATGCCATTTTTTCTATTTTTTTTTTTCTGTTGTTGATTTTTTTTGAACCTGCGGCATTTCACCAGGATTTGAAAAAGCTCCTTTTTTCTGAAAGCCAAGATTTGCTTTTTCTTCCTACGTAGGAATTCTCAGATAGATGAGGGGACACCAAATAGAGCATTTCTTCTAAAATTGCCTTCAATTTTTACAATAACGTGCCTAGGAAGTGTTAGATGGATTTAAAGCAAGCGGATAAGAACTGGCTTTTGCTATTGAACCTGTGCAGCTGGCATTGCTTCTCTTAAGTAAGAAAACTGAACTGAAACATTGCTTTTCTTGTTAGTGCTTTGATATTTATTTGAATGCTGAGGAATGTATTGTGCTGCAGAAATGTAATATACCTTTAAAGCAAAGGTGGGCAGTGACTGGTTGGGGGAAAAGCTTGGGGAAATAATTATCAGCATGTGTCTCCTGGTCATGGCCCAGCTGGTTATCTCTTCTTGCTTTTGGCTTTATTCACAATGACTCATTTGCAGACAAAAGAATAGGCGCTGCGAAAAGGCATCAGCTGTGCTAAAAACCTGTCACTGCCCTGAAGGAGCTCAGGAAAATTGTTGCTTTTCTGCAAAGATATTGACAGCTTAAATTGCATTTAGACTTAAACCTCAGTGTCTCCTAAAGGCTAATATTCAAGCAATAGGTGGAAATTACTTAAGCAAGCCTTTTTCTTCACATGTGTGTATCAATGACTCCTTTGTTTGGACTTTTGCAGAATACTGCAGGTGTTACTCCTCTGGAAACTTCGACAGATCATTCTTCGTAGTAAGTTTTCCAATTTCTTTTTGATGTCTCTTTTACAATCTGAGGGCATGTAGGAGAGGGTTTAGGGTGATGGAAATGGGCTGGCTTTATTTTTTGGTGATGGATATAGCCAAAAGGATCTACCATGAGAATTATACAAGTGCTTTAGATGAGTCCAGGTACAATATCTGCTTTTTGTTCTTGAATTAATTTTGAAGTGATTACATGAGTGATTGCATTGTCTAGATGAGAATTGCTGATTATGCTAGGCAGTGACTTTAAAAAAAAACAAAAACCCCAGACCTTTAACTCCATCTTGATGAAGTTTGCAAATTGACTGTAACTTCATGCAAGTAACTTTATTGTGTGGAATAAACAAAGTTTGTTTCTGTGAGATACGTCTCCTGTTAGATACTCCCAGTTATGCACACCAGATCAAAAGCATGCTTTTGATGGTAGGCAATAATTTTCCAGCTTCCAGGAAGAGGACAGTGGTGGCAGTAACAGTATTTCTCAAAGATCTAATGTGGCACTACTTTTCCAGAGGAATATGTAATAAACAGTATACTCTGTCTAAATGAGTTGTACATGCAGCTGGTTTGTTTTAAAAGAGGAACAACAACAACAACAACAAAAAATCCAGAGCAAGATGCTGAACTGTGCTGAGCTACTTAAGTCATACTGAGTTACTTGAGCTGTGGAGCCAGCTCCTACCGTGAACCTGCTGCTCCTTGTAATTGGACTGAATGCTTAACATTGTCCGTAGGCACAGTGATCCCCTCTGTGTGGACGGTTTGTTAGGAAAGGCGTGTTCTTTTCCAGACACCCATTAACATCACATGTGTTCACTGTCCCTCTGGGGCTGCCTTAGAGGTCTCCTGTACTTCTTTCAACTCAGTTCCCTTTTATCTGTGTTCATTCTGCTGGGAAGCTTGCGTACTGCTACATTTTGTTGGTTGCCGCTATGACTGTTTTGGGGTTTTTTTGGTAGGGAGAGAGCAATAAAATAAATTGAAATCTCAGAGATTAGCATAAAAGAATAGTTTATATTTGCCAAAGACTGGTAAGGTTTCTGTCCACAGCAGCACTGCGTGCCTTTTTCTGACACCTCCCAAAAGCATGTAGGAGTGCCAGTATCTGAGCCAGTGGAGGGGCAACAACCTGGGTAGGCTGGGAATGGGACACAGCAGCGAGGCCCAGTGGAGTCGCACGTTCTTCTCTGCCCTGCCTTTAGAGAGCCAAGGAGAAAAGATATCTGGAGTTTATTGTCTTTTTTGCGGTGTTGCTTTTCCCGCTGTTCACCTGATTCTGATCTCGCAGACTGCCTTGGCCCCCACAGTACTGGTTGCTGGCCCTAATGAGGGGGCAACTGATAAAGGGACTCTGTGAAATGCCTCCTCTCTCTCCCCCAGGTGTATTCCCAAAGGAGGATCGTTTTAACCCTTTGCTTTTTAACAACTAGGCTAAAATGCTGTTATCTCCCAGGTGAGGAACCTCAGGGCAGTCATCACTCCCTGCAACAACTGGCAGGGCTTCTTCAGGAATCTGACAGAGGCAGGCACTGGGATAACACCCATGAGATGACAACAGCTCTGTAGCTATGGGTCTGTTTGAGCATTGCCTAGGTTGAAGAAGTGACAGTATTCCCTTTCTCTTTCATGGTGCTTTTCATGAGCTTTTACTCCAGAAAGTAATTTATGGGACTGCATATGACCTGGTTTTCCTTGTCCAGAAACTAAAATCTTCTTTGTGATCCAGACATTGTGTAATTCCACCTCCATAGCCATTCCTTAGATGTGTTTGAAAGCTTTCTCTTTACCCCATAAGTACACCGTCTATCCAAAGTAAACAGATGCATATACAAATTTATCCATAACAATCAGGCATAATCACAAGCATTTCCACACTCACATAAATTTGAATCATTCCTGGACATCAGGATGTAAACCAGCTTTCAAAACATTTCCATGAATTGGCAAATGCCCTATTTTTTTATGTTTTCAAACTTTCCAGCAGTCATGTGTTGGCCCAAGAATAGCTTTGTGTGAGACAGGATCTTACTCTGAAGAGCCTGGTTGAGCACAGGAACTGGTATCAGATGAACTTAGCTTTTAGGGAAACATTGGCTGCGTAATTGCTCAGCAAGTTTTTTTTACCTGGAAAGGGCATTTATACCATGGCATTGTCAGTTATTTTTTTTAGAGAGAAAACAGTGAAATCTAGAAATCAGATGTGGGGGCAAACTTGTTCTTAGATTCATGACTGAGGAAAGGGATTTGTAATAAATATCCAGTCTTTAAAGACCTAAGAAATTACAACTGTACACATTTTAACAGCATTTTGTTTACATATCTGCATGGTAGACCTAGAATCCACTATTTTTCATTCCCTGTAGTGGAAGCCTGAGGCAAAGCTGAGCAGAACCGTGGACATCTGGAATTTCTTTGGCATTTAAAACAGTAGTGTCTATAGCCCCCTACTATTGCTTCTCTGCATGGTCCCTCACTGATGGTCTTGATAAATTGCTCTGAGTGCCTTGAACTATAGTGTTAACTGGGAGGCTGAACAGGCTGAGATGAACTCCTGAGCAGCTGTGCTTTTTAACCAGGGGACAGGCATGGCTAGGAGAGAAGACGACTGTGCTACTTCCAGCCAGCCACTGAATTTCTTTGTGTCTGCAAAGAAATCATGCATCTGGTCTGTCACTCTGTTGTCTCATCTTCTAAAATAAAGGAGGAGTGCTTTCCTTCCACCTGTTTTCTGGGGGACTGAGCAGGGAGCGTTCCCTCAGGTGGAGAATGCTATGGTAGTGCCAAACCTAGAACATTATCACAATATATTCATAATCTCTTCATTCAGCACCAGTTCTTTATACACAGTCTATTCTGAGTTCACAAGTGTGGTTTTGTCTTACTTTGCGTGAAGCTCACAGCCAACAGAAGTGACCCACTAGTGTGTCTCCTCCTTTTTTGTGTTTTCCAGCTCTACATATTCACCCAACTACCATGCAGTGAAGAGGGAGTCAGAACCAGCACTGGGGGACCCTGCTGGCTTGGAGAATGAAAGGCAGATTTACAAGAGTGTGCTGGAAGGTGGAGATATCCCATTCCAGGGGCTGAGTGGTCTCAAGCGACCTTCTAGCTCTGCTTCCACAAAAGGTAGGTGGTCAGGGAACTAACCTCTTCTCCATTCTGCAAAGAATGTCAAAAGCCAGGTGATACGGGGCAAACTGCTGCAGGATTTAGAGTCATATTCAAGCCAGTTGAGGTTTCCTCTGTCCTTCCTCTTTGCCATCCCCAGTTTTCCCTCATTTTTTCTGTCAGTCCACACTGGCCAATATTTTTCATGACCCCTTTATCTGATCCAGGTTCCTCTTCCCAACAGGGACCAGCTCCCCTCATCCAGCACCTGAGCCACACCCCACACCCCATATTCTTCCTCAAGGCTGCTTAGGCTGTCCTTGCTATCCATCTGCTCCCACTGCCTTGCCATGCTAGAGCCCTTCCCTGCCTTTTCTGCTCTTCTGCTGCAGTATCTCAGCAGGCTACACCACGTCTGCTGACCTGGCTACCCTGGTGTAGCTGGTGCCTTGTGCTCCACAACCTCCTGCCTGCAAGGGGTATGCAGAGAATGCATGGGACACTCTGAACCAGCAATGCCCTGCAGGCTCTGAGAAGAGTAAGGCAGCAGAGAGCGGTGCATCTCCTCCACTTTCCTCCCCCCCTTCGTAGACTCTCTAGCAGATTAGGACAAGGAAGAGCCTGACTCCCATCAGGGAGTCATATTGGGGAATGTATCTCTGAGCCAACTTCAACCTTAAAATGGCTTGAGATGGTGAGAGGACTGGGGAAGGAATGCATTGGGTTTCTGAACTGCTCTCCCTAAAAATAGTTCTTTGCACCAAAAACGTCTCTCTCTGTCTCTGTCTTCCAGCTGTTTTTCAGCATTATGTCAGGCCTGTGGGGCAGGGAGTCAGACTGGATCTGAACAAAAAAGTCTGTTCAAACAGTTATTGTTCCCCAAACTGCAATTGAACCTGAATGGTTATTTTGACATTTGAGTTTGAACTCAAATCAGAAACAGACCTAAAAACTACAGTCTAAGCTGAACCCAGACTGGATGTGACTTTTAAAAAAAAATGTCCTGATGTGACTCCTTGATTTTTAAAGCAAACATCGCCAGCCACGTTGTCTGAAAAACACTCAGCTTATTCCTAGTACGGGGAATCTCTAAGGAGGCAGCTTTTGGGCAAGGCCAGCTGGTGTGGCCTGCTTGTGCTAGCACAGTCAGCCGCCAGTTGCCTTCTCCATCCCAGGAATAAACTGTTTGGCAAACACTGTGGTGAGACCATAGTAGGTGTGATTACAGGCTTGGTTTTAAGCCATTTTTGCAATGTTAGTGCCTCTGCATTCTTGCTGACACCCTGATCCTGCCCAGAGTTCAGCTGCCCTTTTCCATGGTGCCGCAGCTTCCCTGGAAGCTGACAATGCTTAGCACTTTTTAGGAGGGTACCTTCAAAGTGCTCCAGATCTGCTTCTGGCCAAGCCTCTCATTTTAGAGATGTTAGCAGCACTTCACCTACACCTGTAAGCGTGACTTGTTGTGCAGTTTCTTCTTGCTTTTCTTTATGTTTTGGAACTTTGTTTCTTTAAAGTGCATTTTATGAAATCCAAGCATGTTCTTTCTCCTTTCTCAATAGCTTTCTAGCACCTAAGCTAACAGGTTGTATTTATTTTATTCTGCATGCTTACCAGTGGATCGTAAAGGTGGGAATGCTCATATGACTGCACCCTCTTCAGTTAATAGCCGAATCTTTAACGCTAGTCATACCGGTATGTTAGGTCACGCATGTAAACATAAGAAGCCCTTATCAGCTGCAAAAGCCTGCATTACTGAAATCCTCCCTTCTAAATTCAAACCCAAACTAGCAGCTCCAGCTGCTCTTGTGCAGGACAAGAAGGGTATCTTGCTGTCTCACGAGAAAGCTCAAAGCTGCGAAAACCTTCGTAGCTCCATTGCCTTGTTCAATAATAAAAAAGCTTTCATGGTAGACGTAGGGGAAAGCATAGAAAACATGTTGATGAAGTCAAAGCAGGAGTATGCCATCAAATCCGGCAGTACCATGAGCCTGCAGGAGTATGGCACCAACTCTAGGAAAGGGTACCTGTTCCCTGCCTCCAGGAAGAGTGGGATGGAGTTTACAATGCTGTATAAAGACATGCACCAGATCAATCGGTCCAGGATCCATTTGGGCACAGTGTCCTCCTGCAGTGTGAGGAATATTGCATCTCAGTTTGAGAATGAAGCAAAGGACAGGATGGAGCCCAGCCTTAGTCGAGAGGATTCAGAGCAGATCCCCAAACACACGGTTTCCTCCCGTGTCAGTGCCTTTGAGCAGCTGATCCAGAGATCCCGATCAATGCCCTCGCTTGACTTTTCCACTGGACAAAACAAATTCGCCACTTCTCTCCAGTCTAAAACTAGTCTGAGTTCTGCCTACTCTGCAGAGTTTCTTCTGGATTCACCAAAAGCACACCAAGAAGAGAAGGATGCTGCCAACTTGGCAGATAAATCCTCCCACTCCTGTAGCAACGTGGAGGACACTGCTTCAGATGTCAGTGACGCCATCCCTATGGACACGCTTTCAGCTTGCACAGATGAGATAGATCTCCTCTCAAATGCATCCAATGACAGTGGCGGCAGCAGCAGCAACCTCAGTGGGCCTCAGAAGCATAAAATCAACAGATGCAAAGGCGCATGCCCAGCTTCCTACACCAGGTTCACTACCATCCGAAGACATGAGCAGCAGCAGGCCTCCAGGAACCCTGATTCCAAAGGGGATGTCTATGGGGATAGACACATGCTCCCCAGAAATGTCTACTTAATGAGCCCGCTCCCCTTTCGCTTGAAAAAGCCCTTCCAACACAAATCCTGCGGAACTCCGCCCCCAGACTGCCTGGGAAGCCTGGCAGTGCCCAGCCCTGAGAACCCAGATGACCCCATGCAGCTGCAGGGGAGCCTAGGAGACAAGAGTCACCACTCCCAGCACCAACTGTGTTCCAGAAGCAGGCCTCTAGCCCCCAGGCGCCTGTCTTCCTTTGACATTGTGGAGAGGCTTAGCTACTTCCCCACCATGGGGGAAGCTAGCCAAGATAACTTCATGGGCCGGGCTGACACTCCTGACTCCTTAAACAATGGGAACCCTGTTCCATATGCCCTCTGTCACAGCCTGGACACAAACAACAACCCACAAAGTGAACTTGGGACGTACCTAGGAGGTGGCTTTTTGTGTTCTTTACCAGTGTCCATCTGTCTTCTTGCTTTTCTTTCTCCTCCCCTTTTTCTTCCGCAACCCTTGCATTTTTACTCCCCACCTTTGCATCCCCCGACTCTCTCTGTTCTTCCCCCTAGTGTGTCTAATGTCCTTTGCGTGTCTTGCTGAGCATTTTTGTTCAGAACTTGTTAACAGCTGCACTTCTGAGAAACAATTTCCGCTGCCTTTTCAATCACATCGGGTTCAGTTTGTCTCTCAAGCAACTGCGGGGATACAAGAATCTCAATATGAGATATTTCTAGTCCTGTATCATTTGCACACATGGGAATATAAAACAAACCCAGATGATTTGCTTTAAGGAGCAGTTTCTCAAGGTCTAGTTGTGTGTATGTGTGTGTGTGTGCGCGCACGTGTGTTAAACTTTTCTCAACAGTAAAATGCCAAATCATACTTTGATGGCAGCAAATCTTTTCTTCACAAAATCCTTCTATGTCTTTTCTCTTTCCC